CTATCAAGAGCGGAAAGGCTTTTTCTCCTCTTCCGTTCACCCCTATCAGTGTTTGTCACGGCTTTGCAAAAGGAAGGATACATACAGAAGGAGATGTCTCCTCACCCATCCGCATGGGCTCGCTCCAGATCTTCCTCCTGGGCTTGAAGGTGAGAAGCAACAAGCCTGGAGCGACAGCACAGCGAGAGGGGTGCGTGACAAAGCACTGCTTCAGATGCAATCCATGAAAGAAAGAATAAAGGAATTTATCTGAACTCACCTGAGGAGCAGGAGAAAAACGCATGAGTGCAAGTCCCTCGGGAAGAGCTTTAAGGAGGAACAAGAGGGAAAATTACATTTGCAAGCAAGATGTACCAGGAGAAACTCAGCTTGTCCTTTCCCAGTCCCTGCAAAACACGAGCTGACAGTTGTCTTTCGAGAGCGGTTACAAAGCACAGCCAAGACTGAGGGCTTATTGCTGCCGGCGGTCTGGTTTGGACCACAGAGCACAGAACACATGTAGCATCACCCTGATCTTATCCAGCCCCATCTCCAAGCAGCAAACAAAAGGAAGAAGACACAGAATACTTATCACAACACAGATTTAATTTCTTAGGCAGTTATAAAATTACAAAGAGCGATGGGCTAGCAGCGAGAGCTAGACACTTGGTGAGGTGGAATGTTAGACAGATTTTTTTTTTTCCCCCACTTATTGACACAGCTATTGAACAGAATAAGTGAGCACTGCAGGATGCAGGGTTTGGTTTTTTCCAGGCGAGGAAGCAAATGCAAGAGCAAATAGATCCAGGTAGACAAAGGGTTGAGTCGACACACCCCACACAAACCCAGAGCTACAACTTCCCCACTCCTGAGAAACGAGTCGGACACATGCAAGGCAGCGCACGGGCGGTCAGCGTACGGATGGCTGCAGCCACATGGTCAAAGCCACAGCACTGGGACATCTGTAACGAGCACAACCGTAGCTATTTGCAAGCCAGAATAAAAACTTCTTGTCTGGTTATTTTCAAGGCAGTGCAAGATGAGATTTGCCAATTTGAAGCGTGTTAAAATGAAGGCATGTCATGGTTAGAAAAAGAGGAATTTGCTGAATTCCTTTGGTTGTGCAACTGGAATCTTATTTACAGTCAGAGCCATGCTTTCTTCATTGCAAACCTTTCACAGTGCAGCACAGATTCCAGAAAAAAAAAAAAAAAAAAGGCGGCCCGTTCTGCACATGTGGAGAAGACACTCTGTCTTGCTCTCAGATGTTAACAGGTTAAACTGAGGCGACTGTTAGCCAGGACAGCTGGAGCACAAAATAAAACTTTCCGAATCTCCGCAGTGATTAATCCCCACCAAAAATCAAAAAAAAAAAAAAAAAAAAAAAAGGCGGCCCGTTCTGCACATGTGGAGAAGACACTCTGTCTTGCTCTCAGATGTTAACAGGTTAAACTGAGGCGACTGTTAGCCAGGACAGCTGGAGCACAAAATAAAACTTTCCGAATCTCCGCAGTGATTAATCCCCACCAATGCTTTGGACAAAAGACTCCCGTCGCTCTGCAAACACCAGCGGAGCATCTGCGCACACAAGTGGTAATACTGAATAGCTCAGCTACCTACCAGGAAAGAAATTCTACCATCTTACTGCACGTTGCTTTGGTGCTAACGCCATTATTAGAGCCAAGAAAGCGCAGCACGGGATGTAACACCGAGTGCTCAGCTCATCAGCTTCTCGGGGCTCTACGCTGACCTACTCCCCGAGCTGGCGGCTCTTCGGCGCATTCCTCCCTTTTTATTATTACGCACAGGTCAGACGCACGTTTCCTCTGTGGAGAAACCTGTCACTGTATTAAGAGCCTTCTCAGGTATTTATCCGAATTCAGGCAGACTTGAAAAGTCAGCCCTCCTACCCCCATCCTCTGCAGAAACAGGCCCAAGAAACTCGCTTGTGTAGGGCCTGAAGCAGCAAGGGACACGCACGCAGCTGAGCCCAGAGGGAGCACTCGCACAATGTCTTGCTGAACAGGGCCTCAGAAGAAACAGCTTTTAATAACCGCTTTTTGCTTTTTTACTTCCTCCTCCTCCTCCGCCAGGCCCAGCCTTTTAACTGCTAAATTTGTATCTATCGCTTGTATTTCAGAAACAGTGACATAAGAAAAGTCCGGAGCAGATAAAAGCTTTCTGCCTCAGAACCTGAAATACAAAACAGGGTAAACAGACAGATGTCGAGACAGCAGCAGGGTATGTACGCTCGCTACCTATTTGCACATCAAGAGAAACGGCTCCTTCGCCACGGTACTCACTGGGAACATATCCCACTGCAATCTAAGACCTGAGTTTAGGATTCTGAGTTTTTAAGTGTCCCCCCCGCCTCCCCCAGCTTTGGTTGTTTCAGTTGTCTATCTCCACCCCCTACCCTCCACAGAGTTAAAAAAAAAAGCTATCAAGTGCAGTCTGTATCTAGAGAGAGACGCGCTGCCACAGAACAACCGCTGTCCTTCCAAGCAAGGTCAGTCTAAAACGAGAGGGGCTGTATAGGTGTTCCCATATCGTATGACCAGAAGCCCATGGCCACAGCACAGGGCTAGAGCCGCCTTGGCTCACCCTAGGGTATCCAGGGCTGTTAGACCATCAGAGTAGAAACTTTTAGACACCACCTGATCCACAGAGCATAACAGTGCAATCATATGCTCCACACTCAGGTGAGGATGCAGCTGCAAACAGCATTTCTGGTATGTTTAAGAAAAAAAAAAAAAAGAACAGAATACATCTTTGTGTCATTAGGATGAAACCCCAACCTGAAAGGCTTCTAACTTTGGTATCGTACCACTACAGAGTGGTTACTGAGGGCCTCAGGCCATCAGAGGGAAATATTAATCATCTTTCATCTGAGGAAGTTTATAACCTCATGCAACGAACTTAAGACAAACTGTCACCACTCTTAAATATACTGTCAGTGGGGACCAAAGACCACCTGCTCCACCCTACCAGCTCCATGCTGGTCACTAACCCCAGAATATTACTTTTGCTCTCTAAAAAGATTTTCCCAGTTACTACGACGACAAAAAGATAGATACTTTAACTGGCCTCCAGCTTCTACCCAAGAGGGACCCAAGCAAGGCATAGCACTTCAACAGCCAGCGAGAGGCTCGGGAGCAGGCGCGTACTACAGCATACAGAAGACACAAACACAGTGAATACGGGATTTCCAACTCACCTGTGGAAGACACAGTGTAAGAGTTAAGAAGGGGTAGAATTAGTACAATAAACATCCTCAATTTTTAGCAGTAAGAGTTGGTAATTACATGAAGGGGTATATCTTACTATGTAACATGGCCTTTGTTACACTTAAGACTTGTAAAACTTGTGTGCTTAGCAGACCTGCGTTGCTTATCCGTGTTTACTGCTAACTCTACTTGTGGAGCCTATGCCAAGCCTCCGAGTATGTTATAGGAATGTTACCAGCTTTAGTCTGGAACGAGCAGACATCTGACAGCTCCTGGGCTGTTCAGTTTGCCAGCAAAGCTCACTGAGCTTATATATATATATACACACACACTTCAAGACTTGTATTTTACTCCCCAGTCATGAGCCCCACAGCAAAGCTGATAGCACTTGCAGTAAAAAAAAGAAAAAGAAAAAAAAATAATTCCAGACCACAGAATTTAGTTGTCAGCCAGAGCTTAAAGTCAAGAGACTAAGCGATATCTCAGGATGGCTGAGTGGTTTGCTTTGAATGTGCTGGGTTCTGGAGATGACACCGCAAGCCACTCCAGCCAACTACTCACGACAGTCAAGGGTTTTCAATGAATAAACAAACCTGACCCCTTCTCTCCCACATGTGCTCATAAGAGCATCTTCCACATACACAGACTAACAGTAGCCTCACTGATACAGGCAGCTCTCTTGCCAAGGGCCACCACCATCTTCTGCACTTCTAAAGGACGGGGAAGCCCACCTGCCCACACGGGGCTTTGGGGACAGAGAACACGGCCTGCTATTGAGAGAAGACTTGTTCACAGTACCAAATCCTAAAAAGCACATCGCTGTCTAGCTGTGGTAGGGAGTTCACACGTAGCTGGAGTACTCAGCTTCTGTCCTCCTCTCAAGATCTGCATTTTCCTTGCCTGTTTTTATTTTTATTTCTTTGCAAGCAGTCAGTAGAGAGAAAGGAAGCAACCCACATTGCTACACAAAAGGCAAAGCAGGCTCATTTTGGCAAAGGAAAGTAACACTCACCAAGTACTTTGCTAATCACTCGCTCACTAACTGTTATCCAAGACTTAAGAGAAGGCACATTACAACCCTAAAAATAGTCTGCAGCACTGCTCAGCCTTGGAAAGCCCTAGTCAGGGTCAGGGCAGTTTAGGATTTATTCCAAAACCGCCAAAGAGACAACCACTCCTTGGAGCGTGTATCACAAGAGGTACTCTGATGAAAGAGGAAATAAAAAAAATAAAAGTTAAAAAACCCACAACATCCATCAGAAGAGAACCCAGAAGAAAATTAATCTTTCAAAATCATTTATATTTACATCAGTATCTTGAAAAAAATCATGAACCTTCACTATTAGAGCAGTAGAGCCAGCCCCAGACTGAAGAGAAGCAAGAATTGAGAGCTACGCCTTCCAGCTGAAAACCTCAAGGCTGTTTAAAGAGTGGGGCTGCCATACTTCACAGCAACTTCCATCCAGCCTGACAGAATCCTTGCTTTGGATAATTTTAAGTATTAAAAAAACGTTATTGCTACTCTGCCAAGGAAATAAGACAATCTACAGGAGAGAAAAAGTGCATTCCAAGTCTTCTCTAAAAAACCCCACAAACTTATCAGCTACTATGGGCCACAGACACCCAAGTCCTAACGGTGTGCCAACAAGAGTCTCCAGCAATTCCTCCTTCATTCTAGCTTTCTTCCTGCAGCAATTTCTTTTCTTCCCTGTAAAGGCACTTTCTATAGTCTATATCCTTATGCAGGGAAACACTTCCAGTTTTCCATCCCAACAAACAGAACAGTCCCACAAATACACAACATTCAGAAGGAATTTTAATTAACAAAATGGTCCAGGAAAGGGGAGGGAGAACCCAAAAAAACAGGCCATTGCATTTGAAAGGTTGCATGTCAGTCACTAGGTATGCCTGCAAGCCCATGCACAGGAAACCATTTGGACCTTTGTCAGTGCAGAACTAGTCTCAGCTTCCAGAACCACTTCTCTACTCCTTTCTTATATAAGCTAAATATTATATACATATATAAAAAAAATACAAACTTGAGTTTGTTATAAAGTGGCTTCTCTCTCTCCCCCTCCTATGCTTGCTTGGCACATGAACGCATGCAAAGCTAGTAGGCTCTGAGGGCTGCACAAACAGCAGGTTTTGGCAACAAAAAAATAAACACAGCTAAAATAGATAAGCAAGATTAAAAGCCACTGAATTGAAAACCATGTATTTTTCCAATTGTATAGAATTAGAACTACAGCTACGACTTAAAACTGTAAGAGTCTGTCATCCTCTCTCCCAACTCATGTCAAAGTTCATAGCAGCATAACACGAGATTCCTCAAGAAACATCAAGCCAGTGTTCTCTGCTTCAGGAGTGAGTTCACAGGTCAAAGTTTAGTCTGTCCGAAGGATCATGGGGGGATGCTCACTATCTTCGTCCAATCTAAGTGAGTTGGTTTCATCTTCCAGGCAAGCTCCACCCACAGCACCCAGGTCATCTGTATAGGCTGCAGAGAGAAGAACAAGTAGCTGGGGGATCAGCAGCACAAACTAAAGTTGGAACAGAAGTGAGTGATTAGAGCTGAAGTACCAGACGTTACTTGCAACAGTTCCATTGCTACCCTATGTTTGCCTTCATCATGACCATGATTCCCCAAGCCAAGAGCAGTTTATAATCAAAATCCAACCACTCTGTGTGCGCAATGCGTACTGGTGCTTTGGGCAAGCTGATCATCTCCACCCATGCATTACAGCTGCAACTGCAGTAAAGATGCTATACGTGCAGGCTGTCCTTCCTCTGCAGCTGAAGCAGCACCTGAGTGCAATACAAAGATGGTAAAAGCTCCACTCAGAGAGCTGCAGCATTAACCAAATTCTCATCCTCTCAATTTAAGAGAGCAGCAAATCAGGCTAAAAGGTCACTGTTCCCATAAAGGAATGACAGGAGCACTTATCAACCTTGCTAAAAAAACCCCACAAAACAACAAAGGAGGAGGGGTTATAATTCAGATGCTTTGCACAAGGTCTGGGTGCAGAACTCCTGTATGAAATAGTTGTGTTAGGGGATCTCAAGAACCATTTGGCAAGTACTGCAGCTATCACTACACCAATCAACCACAATTCGAGAAAAAGTTCTACTCCGAAAGCAGCAAAGATCAGCGATCCATCTGCAGGAAGCTACTGTATATCACAAGTGCTCTTTTCCTACTGCTCACCAATGCTCCACATCACCCCGCAGTTACGAAAAGCTCAGTGTTGAAGCAGACGAGCTCAGACAGCCATCTAGAATGAAGCAATACGCAGAGGTGCTCTCTACCCCGTTTCCTGCCTTCTCCTTACCATGCCTTGTGGGTGAGGAAGGCACATATGTACCTTTAGACACAGCGGCACTGTATGTCTGCGCTACCAACGGCCGGTCATGGGATGCAGACTCTAGAATTTCGTTGGCTGGCTCCATACTGCCATCAAGCCTACCAAGCAGAGAGAGGTTAGCTGGAGAGGTGATCTACCTGGGCATAAAACAGCTTTAGGTGACAGCTACACAAGAATATCTCATTTGATGCACAAGAGTAATACATATACACATGCTACAGGCGGAACTCGGTCCCTCCATTCCAGAGGAGTGTCAAGAAGGCATCTGACAACATTTCATGTTTAACACTGAAGACACATCAGCAACATGCTTGCCTGTGAGATAGTATCAGTAGCTGATGCTAGGAAAAGAGACTCAGAACAAGAGCGCACAGTTGAAGTAATAATCATTCCAATCAGCAATATTACGTATTGTCTCTTGAGCTCTGTCCACCACAGAAGTGGTTGCTTCATACGCATATGCTCAAAAACTCTCTAGTGAAGGTATTGGAGCATTTCAGAGATTAACTTGATAAAAGGTTTCCTCTATGAGGCTTCACTTCACCTACAAGTGAAACCAGAGGTCATACCTTAAAACATTCAGATACACATATGATTTTTTTGACCAGTATTCTAGATTGACCAAAGCCGCAAACCTGAATTATCACTGTGAGTTACTGGTTTTAATTCTATGATTAATCATTTAAGTAACGCAACTATATTACCCTAGCTTTTCCTGCCAAACCTTATTAAAAAAAAATAACAGCGCCTTGTCATATTTTCCTACAGAAAAATTCCTTTCTTATATCCTTTCTTATAATCTTTCCTATTTTTCCTGCCAAACCTTATTAAAAAAAATAACAGCGCATTGTCATATTTTCCTTAAGATTTCTACAGTACTGCTGCAGGACATTACTTGGCCAGCCTATATACAAGGAATTTTAATAAAGACACCGGTAGACAGAATACTGATAATGTCACAGGCCAGATTCCCCTCTGTGAAGTCAGAGTAACATATCTCTCCTATCTGTAACCGCTTCATTTATTGATGAAGAGGATGGTGTCAGGCGTTTCAAATTCTTGTTTAAGTAACTCAACTCAAACTGCCAAGTAAGAGGAAACAGGATCATTCAGCTACCAGCGATTGATCCTTCGCTGCAATCGGACAGTGTTAAGTTTCTGCTGGTAAAGAGGTGCTTAGTGTAGCAGATACTAGGAAGGCAGGCGCAGGGGGACTCTGAAGTTACTCACTCACGTCAGAGGTCTGGAAAACAATTAGCTTAAAAAAATGAGCTGTTCTGAGTTAGACTTTTGCAGAACAGAACTAAGTTTAAGAACAAACTGGATTTTGCGAAGAAATAAAATACAGCAGTCCTCAGGCTAATGTGGACCTACTTGTGCTGCTTCATTAGTGTGCACTCTCCTCCTTCTTGGGGGTCTAGGTTGTACATGTAGAGATACCCATCAGCAGCTCCCACCAATAAACGAGGGATCTTCTGGATCCTAGAAAGGTTTAGGGGAGAGCAACAGATTAATAAGAACTCAAGAAAGCACACTCCACTCCCCTCCCATGATTTTAAGCCATTATTTTCCACGTTCTTGCTTCTAGACAGGGAACACTGTTAGACAGAGCACCTAGGAAAGAACTGTGCGTAAAAAAAGGCATAACCACATTTTGGGGCTAATGGGATGCCACAGGAATCAAGCAACTTATATATGACCCGATAAAACAGTTTAAGATGTTACCATCCTGTTATCAAGCTTTGCGCAACTCCAGAGACAAATACTCTAACGGGAAGTGTTTACTTATTTCAGAAATATTACGAGGCTTAATTATTGCTTAAAGGGTGTTTTGAGATCAGGAGTGAGAGTACAGACATGGAGTCAATTTAGCATAAAAACTATAAACCCCTCACAAAGTAAGTTTACTACTGCTCAGCTTATTGCTTTGGCAGCTGTGCCAAATGGGACCTGCCTTTGGTGAAGACAGCACAAAGATTAGATTTAGTCCTCAAAATTAACTTTAATGAATGCTCTGCTGTTTTAGAGACAAAAATAATATGAACTTGCTCTCAGAGACTTCTTTAATGGTTAGTCTGCATTGCCTAATTTTGCAATTCTCTAACATACAGCACCACTCCCCCTAGCACTAATGGAAGCAAGTGCCGTAAGCCCATGGGTCTGTTCTCAACATTCTTCTTTCCAAATTAAAAGACATCTTTAAACAACACTTAGAAATAGTCTATTCTCATCGAAATATTATGCCTTTCCCTCCTCCCCTCACAGGACTGCGAGGTGTTAGCTCTAACACATTGCTCACAAACAAGGAAAGGCTTTGAAATGGTTACAGGTGACCCATTGCTCCGTGTGCTATCAACTCTGCTGTAGATGAGGTTGTGTTCTACAGTGTCAGTCTCTCCACAGCCCGACACGGCAACCCAGCGGAGTGGTGAATGCGGGCTCAGTTTTCTCTACTCACGTGGCAAGCGCACAGATGTTTTTGTGCCCACAGAACGGCAGGCGGACTGTAGCAAAGGCTCTACCCTGGTTGAACATTTCTGTTACTTGAGAGGGCAGATAGCTTGTTGAGGCCATCAGGACTTTTCCAAAGTAACCTGTCCAGGTTGTAGGCTCTTCCTGAGGTCTACAAGTCAGAAGAAAAAAGTGACGGACTTTGCCTTCACATTAGAGAGAAAGGTGTGTAAACACTTTGAAACATCTTTTTATTTTTAAAGATATTAAGCAGCCATTTGGTTATCTTCAGAAATAACTAACACCCTTGAGAACTCTGATGCCCTCTGTTTATGCTACAGGGCACAATGTGTCCTACAATACCCTCAGCCTGTTATTAAACGTGTTTGATTGTAAACCGATACTTCTGCTCATAAAACCACATTTCATAATGTTCATTATACAAGAGCAAGACCTACTAGAAAGCGCTACACTTCAAGATTTTACCCACTTGTTTATCGCTAAGCAAATCATTGTTTCCAACAACTTCCACAGAAATGTAAGACTGTCCTCTCAAATCATAAATAGGAACATTTTATAACCTGGTGCCTTTTAAAGCTCTATAGGCAGCTGGAAGGCACTGCTAAGACAGCTCTTCCCGTATGGATGTCAGAAGAGCCGAAACACACATGTAACTGAAATCATTAACTCCTCCGCATTGCTCTGCCAAGGATGGCCAATTTCTCTTCAGCAGAAATACCTTTTCTATTCACCAGGAGAACAGTATGCAGCTCAGCTGCAGTTGCCATTTCATAAATAACTTCTCATGCCCTTTACTTTACAGAAGAGTTCAAAAGAAGTCTGTCCACACTTTGGAGAACTCATCCTGTTGAGCATAATCGATTTTAAAGCCTTTTCCTTGAAAAATCTAAGGCACCTTGAAACCTACTTTTCTTTCACAGTCTCAAGTTTGAAGATATGCACCGTCTCTGTGTTACTGGATGCAGACAGAAACATGCCATCCATGCTGAAAGCCAACGAACAGATGCTCACACACCTAGGGACACAAAAAAAGAAAGGAAAAACAATGAAGCATTATTTCTGATATTCTAGTGCTGTACCAATTCATGTAAGAAGAAAGCTAGTGTTAACTAACCCAAGGGAATTGACTTAAATGAGAATATTACTTCTTTATTTCGGTAGGTAGGAGTCTTTCTGCACATTCACCACTAAGGAGCTCCATAATGTTCACACAAGCTGTATTCTGAGAGCTGGGAGGAACTGTGGCTGCATGGTAGACTCACCTGCTCTTCTTCTCCTGTCAGTGACTGCAGGTGACTTGCAATTAAGCCAAAGTATTTGGCTTTATTAATAATTAAGCAGATTTCTCAGTCACCACCGCTTGGCAAATAAGAAAAAAGATTTCCATAGTAAGCATTCCGAATTCTCTGACGCCTTCTTAAAGCACTTAAAGAGCAAGATTCCCATTAACGATGTTCAGCTCTGATGTATACCAGATATGGGGGTCAATTCGTAACAATCTGAACTCAGTCTTACCTCTGTATAAAGAGTAGAGCTACTACTACAACAAATCATAGCACCATTTCACCATGGCTAGCAATGATCACAGCACTAGCAGGATTTAGAAGAGAGCAAGAATATTAGATGTACTGCCTCCAACTGCTGTAAGAATACAATATATCTTACAAAAGGTGACCCACTTTAAACAAGTTCCCTCACCAATAAATTTTTAAAAGGCAAGAGGGAGTACAATTCTGACAGGATTGATTTGTAGAATAGTCAAGACCAAAGGAGCAAAACTGGAAGGCATTCAAGCTGGAACTGTTATAAACATACAGGCACGGATGAATGAAAATGAAGCCAGGCAAAAATCAGGATGCCAACTCAATTGCAGAACATACTGGATCTACCATAAGGAATAAGCTTCAGATAATTAGCCAAGTTGAACTTTACCTCTTCACTCCCCTTCGGAATTCGAAGAGTTTCTGTCCCTCTGGAATGGAAAACACTCTTATTACTGTCCCCTGTAGAGAAAAAAAAAAAAAATTTTTCATTTCAAAGTTCGTTCATTGTGTATTAGCTATAGCGAGCAGAGTACAACTACAAGCAGTAAACCATTTTGCTGTTAACTTAATAACGTTGATGCACACCACATACCAGCACGACATATTTATGGAGCTTGTTCGTGGGATGTGTTTGAGGAGTAGAAAAACAACAAGAGGTGGGAGCTACTAATATAAAGAACAAACTATGCATCAAGAACAGCCCTTCTTATCATATTTCATCATGAAAGCGACCACCCTAGACAAGTACCGCAAGTACACTCACCTGGATCTCTTTGTGCCTTTATCAGATGCAATCAGTTACACCTTTATATTCTAAGCTTCTTATTCAAAGAGCAGAGGCTTCAGACTTTCTAATTTATACAATATAGATGGACAATTTGTCATCATGTGCCAAAGACTGGCAAGACACTTCTCTCTATTCTGACTTTAACGGTCTTGTTTTCATTACGACGACAGCATCAAAACAAGACAACTAATTTCTAGTAAGTAACCTGCACTAAAGGGAGAAACTAAAGGATTGCCCTGATTACAGCCAGATTAAAATGTATTTATTTAAATAACCTTATTATCCAACATTTCACAGCATGGATGTTGTGTCAAATATCATTAACAGTTCTTAACTTAGATTTGCCATTCTAACTGTAACCGTTCTTTTTTGGCACTTGCATATGGAACTGTGCATCCTTAAACCTACTTAAAATGCTTAGAAACAAATTTCATTTTTATCACTGACGGCAAGTCAATAAAATGCCACCTTACCTTTTCTGATGCAGTGGCAAGCTTAGTACCACTTGCGTCAAAAGCCAAAGCAGCCAAGGGACTATCATGAGCTGGGATCATATTAGCAGCTCTCTGCAGGAGTGAATCAATAAAATAGAACCTTAGTGCAGTACAGGTTAAAAGCTACATGTTTGCAGCTTAAGGCTGCATATTTAAGAGCATTCAAGGCAAATATGTGTCTTATTTTATGGACAACAGCTTCAATTTTTGTTTCAGTAACTGCTAAGTAAAGTTATCACTGAAGCATGCGCATAGAGAGTACAAGCAGCAGAAGGATACTTAAAAGACAATTCAAATAGAAATTACTTTGATCCATCCATTTGGCCAACCCTACACATCAAATCTAGTATTAGCATCTGTGCTTTCTTTGCCGATGTTCTGTGAAGCCTGGGTATGAGAGATACTGCAAACTGACACAGAGACACTTGAGTGTCTCGTAATTCCTCTCTGAGGAAGTGAAGTAATTTCCAAAAACTGCATCTTTAGAACTGGAAACAGCATTCACAAAGATCCTTACCAGATTGATGGTGTCAAAGACTTGTACTTCTCCAATAGTTGCACTTCCTGGATAGGCCAGGTAGCAGTTATCATTGTTTATTGATAAAGCACACAGCCCTGGAAGGGATGCAGAAACAGAATCAGAAAGAGACAAATTCCAAGACTTATGCAGCAGAACTTTATGATTTATGTTTGAATATTACAAAGGTAACTCAAGTTATCCTCACAAAGTAGCAAGAGAAACAGAACAAGGACGAGTAATCTCAGAGTCAACCTGCAACATAGTCAACAATTTAACATTAATTAAAGTTTAATATAAGGTAGAGAAGGAAGAATACCAATAGGGCTATAATAACAGATTAAGCAGTAGAATTTCCTATGTCTGCCATGACTCGTAAAGCATTAACCTGACAGTCTTTTAACTATACCAAGTGCTGGCAAAATCCAGTTTGTATCTCTACTACTTCTAACATTACACATCCACTCTAGGAGACTAAAATACTGGGAAGATGCCATTTAGGGCAGTCTCTGCTATTTGTTCTCAAAAATCTCACCTGGATTGAATCGGTAGGCTTTAAGACAACACTCACGTAATTGTTATTTTTATTTTAAAGTGGAATGAATAATGCTACAGTTCCCTGTACAAAACATCATACATTGACGCAGAACACACTTTTCAGAGTTATACTAGCTTCTAACAATATACTCACCTGCAGGATTGGGAGGTGTCTCCCTGATTGTATGTAATACCTTCATGTCTCGTATGTTGTGTATATAAAGAGACTCTTCCAGACATACTATCAGTCTCTAGACATGGGAAAGAGGATGAAATGCTGATATCAAACTGAAGTTTATGTTAATTTATCAATCCTAAAAATATTGTATCCAAAATGCAGTAGGTACCTTCCAATAGAGAAAAGGTAGTACCCACCTGATGGGAAGAAATAAGAGTCTGATAGAAGATACACCTCTTGACAAGGCTTCAACCACGCAACATTACACTCAGTCACTTGAACTGACTTAACCACACTAGTGCAAACTCATTTAAATGAAAATTATTTACATTGCTAGTTTAAGTTAGCAAGCCAGAAACCTTAATTTAAAGCTATTTAATTCTTATTCTGTACCTACCCTTACGTATTTCCTCGCCTCAAGAGGCCAATTCACATGTGGAAATAATTTTCTGCTTTGGCTAAACAGAAAAACATACAAGACTTTTTTAACCATTTACAGAGCCTATTACTTACTCATAATCATTAGTGAGAGGCCTTTTTTTTTTTTTCCTCTAAAAAACTTTAAGTTCTTCAACATCTTATTTACACTTTCGTAGACTACATCTGGATGACTAACAAGATGTTACTCATTTAATGCTACCTCACTATGCCAGAAATCAATTTAGTCAGTTTCAGATTTTAAACAGAAATCCCATCCTCCCACATCTGATTCTGGGGATGGACACTAAGAAGATATTCTCCTTCAGATGCCATTCTCTCTACTTTGAATGAACTGGTTAAAGACAGAGAAGTTTGTATTTGCCGAAGAGTCAGCTAATGAATTAGTAATTCAGAAAACTGTGGTTCCAGGTGTTTAACTCAGAACTTTCACCAGTTCAGTGATTTTTAAATTTTTTTTTCTTTTAAGAATTCGGCAAACTGTATTAAAAAAACATAAAAGGTGAATAGGTAATAACTAACTTTAGGCTTGAACAGATATTGTCAGTTCCACATACTTTCGTATTTAGGATCATAGGATGATTCACACTCGAAGGGACCTCAGGAGGTCTCTAGTCCAACCTCCTGTTCAAAGCATGACCAGCTTAACCGGGGCATTTTCCTAAGTAAATACATCAACATAGAACCAAAAAACCCTAACCAAATGAGAGTACTGAGATGCCATACAGAAACTACAGTTGGAAAAGTACAGGTTAATTTCAGATAGCAAATCTGTCACCAAAGGAAGAGACATCAATCAGCACAGGAAGCACCAGAATAAAATCCATAACCCCTTTCCACGTTTTCACCTAGTCAAAATTACTACTCACCTGTCTATTGAGTTTGACAGCCAAGATGGTGTTGGAGTAACTGTAGTTGCAAATCTCTGTCCCCTTCTTAAAGTGACAAACTTTCAGCTTGCGTGGAGCTTTAAGGCTAACTATGGCCACCAGACTACTGGAGAACAGCCTCTCCACAATGCACACATCTTCTGTGTCAGCTGAGGAATCACAATAACGAGGGGAAAAACACAGAGGGAGATTTCAGGGAAGAAGAATGATGCACATCAACAGGAAATACTGTGTAAGAAAATACAGTGTAACACCAAAAACATTCTGCCACAGCAGCTCAGAGTCAAGGTGGGATACAGGACAGTAAAGCACAGTGAATGCTGGTTTACAAAGATTTCCTGCTCCCCTCCACCGCATCATGCAAGTTTACACTTCAGAACAGAGCATCTACTCCCCCCTGCCCAACGTCAAACAGAAAAAAATCCTAAAGATACAAAAAATAGCAAACTGCCAAATTCCAGAATCTCACAATCTTTTCTATCTCTGAAAAAATCTAGGAAAGAGGTGGTTTTTTGGGTTTGGGATTTTTGTGTGTGTGTGTGTGTGTGTGTTTTGTTTTTAAAGCTATACACATGAAAGGGTTTCTGATGACCAAAAACCCTGGAGTTTCAGCACACCTCTCCATGGTGAAAGAAAGATTATTGTACTCAAAGACGGTAGTAAACTCATCTGTTAGAAAAATGCTTCAGCCACTAATTAGGTTTTTTGGTTTTTTTTTTTTTTTTTAAACCACATACCATCTTTTACCTGACAGTCCCTAAAACCCATTAGTACAGCAATCAACAAAGCCCAGCATGTATGCAAAACCATAAAACAGCGTTCTTTTTGTCGCATATTCCACACTGGAAGCACTGGAGGCAGAAGAGGAACAGAAGTCACCATTCAAAACGTGGGGAAGACAGCAGGAGGGAGGAGAGTCCAGGATCTCTGGCAAAGAAGCACTTTCGGAACATTTGATTATGGTACAGTATTGGATCAAGCTGGTAGGAGTCCAGGTCCCACCACCAGTTACCCTGGCATGTGTTGCTCCCCCTCCCATGCCCTGACACTCCCCTCCAAAAGCCCCAGTGACACAGTGGACATAGTTTTCACAGCAGGAGAAAGCTGGGGAGAGTTTTAGCACTCCCAGCAGCTCTCCCACAGCTACTGGCTACATCTGCCCTCCCACTACAGAACGGAATCAAGACAAGCAACTCAAGCCTCTGGCCTTGATCCACCAAAACAACCAAACTTTTCAGAAGTCAGTATCTGGATTAGCTCAATGCTTAACACGTTCCAAACTGTAAAACTACCAGTAAAAAAGCTTATTTCTGAAGGCTTCTGTTTTGGCCAAGAGACACATTAAATAATTGGCACTGTTCTCATCACCAATGACAGAAATTCCCTGAAAAAAGTTCTGTCCAACATTCTCTGCATAGGACAATATCATCACTGTGTGACATGTCTGCTTTGAAAGAGCTTTTTTTCCTGGGCAGTTATTTCAGGAAAAATAACAGAAAATATTTAATGCTCTACATTCTTTTGAGAGAAATTGCCTACCTATGGAAAAGGAGCAGGTTTATACTAAGCATTTTCAGTATTCTATGCAACATAATTGACTTTTATCTAAAAATCTCATATTTAATACGCTACTTCTGCAGAGAAGACTAAACAGCTCACAGAGGCTTTGAAAATTCAATTTCCTCACTTCTGCAACAGGGATAATGCATTTTAGCAATGACTTTGTTTTCAAGGAATTGTGCTTCATTTTCCTGATGCCACACACAACACACGAAAAAGAAATACAAAAAGCTGCTTCAATAAATTTATGCATAGACTTTCAAATGCAGAGGTCCATGTTCCTCGAACCACACTAACAACAGAAAAGATTCTCAAATATTTTACAGTACAGGTTATCAGCTTTCCATCTAAGTCTGGAGTCCTCCATAACAATGGCATCCTTTTCCAAGAGTCAGAAGACCAGCACACAGAGACTCAAACCCCAGTCTGACTGCTCCCCGCTCCTGGGCAAGCACGGCTTCCTTCCCCCTTTAGGGGCCACTGTGTTAAGACACAGCTTCTGGGATTTGTTACTCTCCCAAGCAGGCAGGAGAAATGGTATTTCAGAGTAGGAAAAGCAGCAGAGATTCAGATGGAAAAGCGCTGCCCTACACTGCACTGATGCAGGTGAGGCTGCGGGGAAGGCACACAGGGAAGAGCAATGCCAGGAACTAAGCAGTCACAGACAGAAGAAAATAAGCTTTCAACAAGGAAAATGCTTAAAAGGTATAGACAATCCTTCAGGTTCACCATTATAATACTGATAGTTACCTTTAGAGAAAGGCTTTGTGATTGGCTTTTAATTATATTCACTTGAAAAAATACAGGACGCACCTCTGTTCCCCTGTCTTTCCCTCACAGGAAGAAGTGATAAAAACCTCCTCACAGCTGCCAAGTCATGTACACTTCCAAAGGAGCAACCGTTCAAGTAAAGTACCGGGCTATCCCGCACATCCTACATCCAGCTGACCCAAATTAATCATGTTTAGAAGTACTACTTAAGTCCTATAGCAATGCTGTTAATCATAGTTGGGTTTTTTTCTATCTGCATTTTGTCCTTTACAGTACACAATTGAGCATTACCAGAAACTCAGATTCAAAAAACAGTAAGAACAAAAAGGACTGCAAAATGATTTAAGTCTCAGCAGTGAGGGGAGAACAAGCAAATACATAACAAGATTAGTTTCATAAACACAAGCATGTAGCATCACAGACAAGAGCTGGTTAGAACCAGCTAGATTATGATCAGCTGTGCTTTTATTCCATTTTTAATCCAAGAACATGAAGCATGTTATAAGCATTCATTAAGCCTTAAAGCACCCTCCAATATAATACTTATTTTTACAGGGGGATCAACTGAGCAGGGAGTTCGGAGATTTGTACAGAGTCACAGCAGAAGTCAGTGATGGGAGTAGACAAAGAAACCTCCCATTCTTTTCAGTTGTTCTCTCAAACACAAGACAGCTGGGGCATATTCTGTAGTTTACTTTAGACACCTGTACAAGAACTGGCAGATCAATCTTAAGAGAAGAGAGGGAGATGTCCTTAAAAGTGCTCACTCAAAACAACACAAAGTCTTTAGACCCACTTAAACTAAATTGGGAGGCAGGAGGCACCTGTCTGGGAGGCCTCAAGACACTTCTCCTTGCAGAAAGGGGGTACCCAATACAAAGGAAGCCCTCCACCCTCATATCAAGTTTTAAACAGGCATAGTTCACAAGCCCAATGTATGCAGTTATAGACTGAAAATTATATTTTTCAGTCTATAACTGCATACAAAATAATGAAGATCTCCAACATTTAGATCTACTGCAGACATTGCATGTCCTACGAGCAAAGGTCAAGGCCGCTTACACAGGTAGAAAATTTGATGGTTTGACTAAATGTTACCTCACACTCTGTGCTCTGTATTTATGGACTCAACACTCACGGAAGAAAACTTACAATATCAAAGAGGTTGAGCCAATAGAGGAATCCCAGAATAGCTTGAAGACAAGACTGGAATCAGCGGGTCTAAATTCCAATCCCAGCTGCTTTATCAGTTTATTGCAAGATTTTCAGCAAGGCCAATCCAATCTGTACTTCTTGTTTCAGGGACTACCCAGAAGAAGCAGTCCTGCAAAGTTCAGTTCAGTCTCTCTCGGTAGATTTATTCAGTGTCTCGTGTAACAGGAGTCATCTTCACCAAGTCTCCTGGAGTGGTATCAGGCCAGATGCTCTAAGTGCCTAACATACTAAAGAGGTCAGGTACCTAAACTCAACGGCATAAAATGGAATTCAAGCCACCGGTTAACCAGTACAACCAGACCATGACTCAAACAGGCAGTCATAGCTGCAACACAATTTAACCTGACCACAGGTGCCTTATTTGAACCTCACAATTACTCCTCTCCATTGACTGTATACAGAATAAAGCTGTCACCGCAGATAACAGGTGATCTGAATCACACACCATTTTCAAGTTTAAGATGCCACAGGGTCAGGTCACTTCGGGAATGGAGTCTGAAGACAATTTGGCTGTGTAGCACGGTACACCAGCATCCTACCAAAAATGCTGACATCACAGCTATTGGTACGATCTGTTCACGCAGAGCGCTCAAGGAAGCAAGGAGACATTCATGCATACCACTCATAGCTTGCTTACTAGCACCTCAAAAAAGGGATGTCTACAAACTACTGGCAAAACAGGGGATAGCACTTCTCCCCCAAGCCTCCCTCCACTTCATCTCATGTCAATGCTGACCACAGTTGAGTACGGTAAGTTATGGGAATTTGGATTATTTACCCTTTTGGATAAGTAAACGTACAGCTATCATGTTAAAAAGTATTTTTCTAACAGCAAATATTAGGAGGCTTTGTTTTCTTATTTGATAAAGATATATTAAGTGGTTGCCTGCCCCAATAGGCACTAGAAAGACTCAAAAGACACTCTCTCATACCAGAAAAAATTTCTTTATGCCCTGCTGCTACATAACCTGGCTATTGCATGTAAAATTAGAAAAGTAGAGTTCTCATAGGTATTACCAAATTTCACAACATACCAGCTAAATTTAAATACAGAACATTGTTATATAGTTTCACCCTGCCAGCAATCAATTGTATTTGTGTGATATTTCATCATCCACTTAAGGTTCCTCCTATGTCAATTTCAAACAACCTGTGCAAGAATGAAACAAGTCTTATTCAAAAAGATACTCACTGCATTCATAGATCTGCTCTAATTTGTCCACAGAAGAAAGAGAGAAGAATTTGTAGCCTGATTTACTGCCAACTGCAAGGGATCTGAAAAAGAAAAAAGCCAGTCAGGAACATAAATTAAATCAGCTGTGAATTACCCTTGGACAGATTCTTATCCTATTCTAAAACTCCAGTTGGATTAGCTCAGTAAGAAAGGCGACACAAAGCTCGACCGAAAAAGCCACGACAGACACAGTTAGCTTCCTCAACTCTGAAAAGGCCAAAGAACTTCAGAGTTACCCCAGGTGTGGAATCCCTGCTTCACATTTTAGGAAATCAGAGTTCACAGCTTAACGTAAGCCTCCTGCCCAATTCGCACTGGTGATTTCTCCACACAAACGAAAAGGTTTCGCGTGAAGGAAAGATGATGACTTGAATAATGTAATGCAAACCAATTACATCATTGCCTCATAATGAGAAGTGACCTCCAAGACCTTTTAAACTGGGATTGTCTGGTGGTTTTTTGCTCTTTATACTGTAACCTCCCCCAACCACCCCAAAAGAGCTATCATATATATATAAAAAAATGTAATTAAAGACTGCCGACTCTAACATTCTCTGGTTTTATTTGATGATATTCAAGCACCTCCAAAGAACATTGCTAGGTCTCAGTCTTAGAAATACTCATGCCGAATCTTTGATCACAGGCACCCTCTTAAAAATGCTAGTCACTGATGTTAAACAGATTTTAACAACAGTAGAACATTAAAAAACTGACTACAAACCCTTCTTTCCTCCATTACTCCACTTTCACACTTAGCTCACAGACCATTTAATTGCTTTTCCAGTCAGTGTCAAAGACAGGTCTTAAATTTTAAGCTAGAAAAACCTTTAGGCTTGTCTTGCATGTCTTCACACATCAAGGCAGCAGACAAAGGCGTATTCTTATTTTCCCCTCCCCATGCAGAGGACGATTTTATGCCACAGAAAAGAAAATTAACAGTAAATACAGTTGTGCACAAGTGTATTAGTATGCTTATAGTTCACATATTTCTGACTGCCAGGACACATGGATAAAAACTAATTAAATTCCAATAAAATGTATTTCGATACGCCAAACTGTGGCGAGTCATTCAATACAAGGCTCAAACCCAACCCTGCCAGTCACCCTGCCAAAATGCCCTTCTGAACTCAGCAAGACGATTCTCTATAATTCAGATGCACAAATGATTAGTTCTGCATTTAGAACACAACACCGATTCCTAGATTTCTTGCTCTTTCTGTATTTTCCTCTCACGGCTCCAAAGTGAGCCCTTTCTAAACCTCAAGGTACCCAGAAGATCAAAAATTGTTCATCAAATGGCTTACTCTCTGAAATTAAGATCCCAAGCTATAAAAATCAACTTCTGTATGATGGTATGACCTTCTCTTCTAGAAAAAAAAAACCAAACCCAAACTGGCACAAGCTGGTTAAGAAATTATATTTGAGAAGGTTTAAACCTTCAAATTAAAATATGCACCATCCAGGCAAGAGAAGTAAGCCTCCCCAGATTCAATAACCAAGATATTAAAAAGAGCATATTAGGCTTAAGAGACAGAGAAGCAACTATAAAACAAAATTTTGTTGCTACCTCTAAGTCACCTTAGAAATACTAAATTTAATTTTACTTCAGACAAATTGCGACGTTCAGCAGAGTATATCTTATTAGTCGCCAAAGATGCTTCAGTGCTTTTTCCTCAACTACTTTTGTACAACTCAATGAAAATCCAAATTCTGTGGAAAAAAAATACGAAACTAATTTGGAAAAAAAAAAGTCATAAGTTCGCTTTTCTTAGATCATCTACTGCTTCCCTCAAAAGACAGTTTAACAAAGAATGACATTAAAACTGTCACTTCACAAAGGTAAACAAGCACTCAACTGAGTTAAAAATAAATGGAGTCACAAGACTCCTTGCAATATAAGCTATCTACAAAAGACATAGGATGATTTCCTCATGGCAAATTCCACACAGCAGCTATTTGTCAGTGTCTTACTAGGCAAAACTGACTCCTGCGTTGTACTTACAGCTTTAAATACAGAATATTGCTGTATCACTGTTTTACTGACAGTGTCACTGAAACCAGCAAGCAAGACCATTTTTCTTGTCCTACCGACTACCTGTAACTCATTTAAATAAGCTTTAGACAATGGCAAAAGCAAGTGGTATACACGATAAAAATCATTAGACTGAGTACAAGCCAAAATGAAGCAGCACAGAACAGACCTTTCCATCCGTGGCAACTGCTTTTTGTTATTTCTTTCAGGATCAAGGTGATGAAGTCACAAATCATTTGTTTACACAGAACAGCTCAAGTCAGTATAATTAAATCCATTTCAGTATACGAGCATAACTGCAAAACAACCCATTCTTCTTCTAAAGCAGCATTCTTGGGTTCAGAAGATTTGGGTTTGTTTTGGGGTTGTTTTTTTTTTTGGTTGATTTTTTTTTTAATATACTCTCAAATTACTTCTTATGAAACTACTGGAAAAGGGCCTTTTATATGTAATAAGAGAACTCACCAGGCTGAGTTATACCAGCATAATCATAATGATTTAAATCCCCCATCTTCCCCCGCACCGATATTACACTTAAGCCCTTAAGACACCTGATAGCTATCTAAATGATCAAATCCCACAAAACAAGTATCTAGCCAAAATTACCTCACCTCCGAAAAAATGTGCAACCATATGGGGAAGAAATATGATCAATAAGCCATTCAGCTATTGCTCAAATAAGACAGTGGCCAACAAGAAGCTACTGTAGTTTATCAGAAGCTCCTTTTACAGCACGGGTGTTATGCTTTATTATCACCAATTTTCAGAAGGTGATGAGAGACTGAAACTGAAAATAAAATCAATATCCAAGAAATTTGCCTTTTTTTCTTCTGACATTATGCTACACACAGGTGGGTTTTTAGCTCTATTACGTGTAGCCTCTATTACACACCTTAGATTGTAGACTTTGAGCTATTTCATCATCAAGGTTGACTACACAGTACAAAATTACCAATATAGCCATGATTTATGAAACTGTGTTTACCCACTTTTTTCCAAAGATAATACTGTAGTCTGATCCAAGACTACATGAATCTTGAGAGTATTTTCAAGAGCAGCTGTCATAAATAATTAAAACTAACCTCATCAAGCGAGCAGTGTTATGAGATATTTCACGCACTCATTTCAAGATGCTGACATTCACTGTAAGTGCACTCATACAGAGTGGGAAATCAGCTGGTTCAATCTCTCTGGCTCTTTAGAAACAAGTTTTTTCAGATGGGTTAGAATCGCACAGGTTTTCTTTTGCTTTAATATACTTACAGAAGGAAGAAAACCAGTTCTTCCCTTTCTGTATCACAGAGGACCTTAACTATTAATCAGAAATATTCTACATTAATCAGAAAGATGCTACTAAGAGCAGCTTTCAGATTAAGATCAATTGCAGCTGCAGTACAAACACAAGTCCAGAAATCATTACTATTTTAAATAACTAGTTAATTAAACTTACTTTCATTATGATACAGTCTCATTATACTAATGCTGCACCTCATTTCAAAACCAATGTAAATTTCCAAAGACAAAATGTTTTGTGAACAAAGGCTTATGATGAAGAGGGGGAAAATAATAATAATAATAATAATAATAATAGAAAAATCAATGAAACAACATAAACTAAATTTCCTTAGTAATTTTTCCTCTTACTTTATTTCCCCCTCCCAAATGTCTGCCGAAAACAAAGTCATAACATCTTACATACGTGTCTTAAAAGAAAGATCAAGAATGTCATTATTTTGGACAAGAGCTAACTATAGAAACCCATGCGTTCAACAGATTTATAAGCAACACTGACAACCCACAGGAGATTCTCCTCTTGCTCTTATATTAAAAGAAAACTAACACAACCTTAAATCTGCTACAGCAAAAGGAGAACACACTTGTTCGTCACTTAACATGCAGCAATAGGCTGGGACAACAGAAAGTTCGTAATCCAAGTAAACATCACTACTCTCAGGCAAAATTCCCACCCAAATTGTCACACTCTGAGGAACAGCTCCTCTGGCAAGCCCACCTCAGCTGCTATCTCCACCACGACAGCAAGTAATGTGACATACAATTGCTTCTCTCGGCTATCTTCCCTGAGCGCAAGAGCTACGCTATCGCTCTTCCCTTCCTTTTTTTGGTTTAGCTTTAAAGCCTGCTTGGAATAAAGAGCTCTCCTGTCCTCAAGGATCATGGGTGAATGACACTTGAACCGAGGAGAAACAAAGGCAGAGGAGTGAATGCTCAGCACCTAACCATTTTTCCCCTCACCACAAGCAGTTTACTACAAAGATACAAACATCACATGGTAGCGGAATTGTAATACAACTTCTGCAACGTGAAGCACGCTACACAGCTTTAGGATGATAAGCATTTGCTCAGAACACAGAAGCAAACCGATTTGGGAAAAAAAGGGCAGAATTAAATCAGAAAGAATAGGTATATGGACAGATACCTGCCACACCTAACTCCATACGTAAATGAAAGCTGAGACTAAAGACCTTGCAAATAAGGCATACACCAGTGTTTTCATTAGAAATCCAGATGTAAGGCTTTGGTTTGTCCTTTCGTCAGGAGTCTGTTTTCAAAACTACAGCGACTGTTTTGTTTCCAAGTGTTGTCACTTGATTACTTATTTTTCAAAAAGGCAACCAAGACTTCTCTACAGTCTGTCAACTTACATTATTTCACAAGTAGGTTCTTCTGGTGGTTTGGGTTGTTTTTTGTTTTTTGTAAAGTGAATCTGAAGAACATAGAACTTAATTTTTAAGGTCTTTCAAAAGCATTTCTCTGGGAATACCCGTGTTATAATTTAAAGACTAAAAATATTATGGATACATGTAAACTTTGAGATCTGGAAGTTACACTGCATAAAAAGTTACATACTTCTATGATACTAATGCATATCCCTTATGGGTTTTAAGGCTTGTATGAGTTTGTGAGGTGTGTTTAATTTAGGTGTGTTTAATTTTTCCTAAGTTTATCCATGCTCACTTTTAGTAGTTCTCCCAGAAGTCACAGAAACAGCACTCAGGTTTAAGTTGTACTTCTTACCAAACTTATGTCATTACAGTTTTCTAACTACTATTCCTAGCACCAAGATGATCTACAAGCTTCTACTGTATGGTTTTGCTGGGATACCTGTATTCTGACCAGTTACTTCACTTTTATCTTCAAGCTGGAGCTTCTGCCTCCCAGTCAGATAATGCCAGTCATGCCGAGTTGTGCAATGATCGATTCACTGGGTAAAAGGGCTAGGTCCAAAACAAGCAGACTAATATCTTCTGAAAATGACCTTCTCCGTGTTTTTTACTTAATGAAAACGTATTATATCAAAGAGAACCCACAAACCAACCACTTCTGCTGCATTATAGGTGGAGTGTTTTCAGGCAGAGTTCCAGTCCCAGGCAATAATTCAAAACTCTCATGTAAATAAAGCTTAGGGCAATATGGAATAAAAAGGCAAGACAACACTTGCAATAATGCAGATACTATTTCAAGAGATGCTGTCACTACATACAGCATCCATGAATGAACATTTAAAAGAAAAGTTAAGTCTGGGAGAAAAAAAACCAACTAAAAGCAAAATAGAAGATCTCTGCTTCAGTCACCAGGGATTGCATCAACTGGGAAAAGCAACAGCAACTTTTACATTGACAACATTCTTCTAACTACCAGCAATCCAATTTCTCAAGACTAAAAGCCACCACGAAGCTCATCTCCTTCCTACAGGAGACAACAATTACCAACCCTTCATGAAGCCTAGGAAAAATTAGCTCGATGCCTATTTTTACCGGCAAAAAATACCATCTTTTCCCAATACAAGGCAATTGGCTCTGCTGCCTAGGCAAGCAGGATGCATTTGAGCATGAGTGGAACTGGAACCTTGTTAAGTTGAAGGTAAAAGCTTTAAATGTAATAACAACAATGCACTCATGTCATTTATTTTCCAGTGTTGTCTGTCAGCGATTTTTTCTAATTACTGAAGCACACCTTAAAACATGATGTGAGCTCTACTGACTGGGAAGACATAAACAAAGCTTGTCTTTCATATACTGGCTGAAAGAACATGCATTTGTTTACCTTGCCTGTCTGGAAAACTACTCCAGTTACTTGTAATATAAGTTGAAAATAAGCAAGCTTTCTGAGGCCCAGCATGGCACAGTCTAATTCATTCCTAATAAAGCCTTTTCAGCTCTTTTCACCTGGTAAGTGGTGACGATTTAGACATCTAGAATAGTATACTAATGAACTCAGAGAGTTGACTTCTTGTTTCTCTATTCAAACAAGAAACTAAGAAAGATCACATGTGGAAAAAAGAGAAAAAAAAATAATCATCAAATAAACTTTAGCATAAAGAACTTACAACCACTAAGTTCCACTCAGTTTAAAAACTAGAATGCAACTGAGTTATTTGGGTCACTTACCACATCAGACAAGTAAGAAATATGTCTGCAAGACTTATTGGTTGTGTACTTACTACTTTTCTTGAAGAGATTTCTTTTGAAACACTACTGTAAAGGCATACTTATTCTGCATCATCCAACCATCTCATTTGTCTTAAAGTAAGTGGCCTTTTATATTATTCTCACAATTCAGAGAAAAAAAAATATCAATAGGAGCCTTTTTCTATTTTTTGTTTCTAAAATGGGTATCTGAAAATGCAAAAATATGCCAAGATGACAAGAAAGACTTCGTATCCCAAGATTTTGAATTACAGAGATATATGGGCCAGGTCTGGATCACATAAAAAGAGAAATGGAATCATCTCTTGCCAGCTAATCTAAAGTCTATATAAAAAATATATGTATTTTTTTAATCTAACTGCACAATGGCAGTTAGAATGCTGAAGACCAAAAGAATCAGCTATAGCACAGAAACTGAAGAACACTTTTGGATATCTACAAAAATGAAATGGGAAAAGTAACAAAGTAGCACACACACAGTTGAGGATTAGCAAGAAAGAAATCATTAGCACCTTGTACCTTTTTGCCCACCCCATAAACTCAAAGTTAAAAATGAATCACGCTTTTCTCTTCCTTGAAGAAAGATTTCAAGGTGCACAAGCCAAAGACCACCTAGATATAAGCTTATATTACATTTGCTTTCTTTTTACTTCTGTCGTGGGTTTGTTCTCAAGTCAAGCCTGGAGCTCTCTTGTTCAGAAGAATTTTTTTTGGTCACAACTCGGTGATCTTTTAAATATATACAGCTCTCCACAAAGATAAGGCGCCACTGAAAATAGGCAGTTGCTTTAAGGAAGGAGAAATAATAGAGCTTTTAGATCCCCCAACTGGACAGCTCAGTTTAACCTAAAAACTAATATAATGACCTTGATAAACTGCAAAAGAAAGAGATGACAGATTTCCTAGTTATTATGACTTGTTTTAACTAGTAATAGGTAAGAAATGGATGGTATCTGAGGAAAATATGTGTATGTTCTATACACACAATGACAGAGCAAGCTCTATACGGTACTCAATGAAAAAAAGTGAAAAGTAGTTGCAAAAGTCTTTGGCTCAAATCAACATATAGATAATGATTTACTTACAAATACATAGCAGACTATTGCTTCCCCCCACTATTTATGATAAGTTATTTACTGTTAAAATCTCGTCTCATGTCTATCCAGCTCTACTTGTTCATCTCTTCACCCCCAACAAAACCTACAAAAGCAAACAGAGTATTTCCTTCTGCGATGTGGCCTTTCTCCTCAATCTTGGCAGTCACCATAAATAATCTTCTTGCCTTAACAATTCTCATAGGCTACAGTACATGCTGAAGACAGTCAAAGACCTCTCCTGAGGACAAGATACCACTGCTTGTGAAACAAACATATAAGTTGTTAAAAGAGAAAAACACCACCACACATATGGATTACACTCTGTGATGCCAACCTGAGATCATTTCCTCTTACTCACTTCCTAAAACAAAACTCCTCCTTTCTCAAGTACAAGTTCTTTCGGTTATTGACCCCCTGTTTCATCTCTTAGGTATTTAAGACAGTCAAATCCTTCTTTAAAGGATCCTTAGTGCTCCAATCCCAACTATTAGGGATTTTTTAAATTGAAAAATATTGCTTTTTAATACCCCATATAAAAACTAACATGCATTGATTAATCTAAATATGCTGCAACAGTTAAATAATCTGCAAGATATGCAGAATGAACTATCTGACCAGTTCTAGAATTGAAATACAAGTAAGTGCAATTTCAAGGACTACCTGAGAAAGGCCTCTTTTTCAAAAATCCAAACCAAAAGAAGCACGGGCTTATAAAAATACCTTTAAGCCTAAGGCATACTGCTTCAACAGAGAGCAGGTAAAACTAAAAAAGCTGTATCAAAAGATAGCTACAACAAGCTTTTGGATGAAGTCTTTGCGCCTCCTGGAACACTTGGGTCTTCACGCTATCTCAGTCTCTCCTAAAGGCCGGACATCATTAAGAAGCAGAACCGGCCCCCTCTCCCCTTCCCCAAGCAGCAGGGAGCAAGGCCTCGCAAGTACGAGAAGGAAACGCTCCCCAGGGCAACAACCCGGGGGAGGGAGAAGGCGACATGCAGCAACCACAGCTCCAGCGGCCCATCAGCCCTCCGCTGCGTGTCCCTTCCAGAGCGGCCTCGCACCCTGCAGCTCCACACGCAAGCCGGAGAAGGGGCTCTGTGTGTGTGTGTGGTGGTGTTCTCCCCCCTCCTCACGGGGACTCCGGCCCCGCTCGGTGGCAGCGAGGGTAGAGGCACCCATGGGAAGGGTCGGCACCGGGGCGGAGGGGGGCGGGCCCCGCCAGGCCTCCCCCAGCGGCCAGGCCTCAGCCTCCCCCGGCCGCGGCCCTCTCAGGCTCCCCCTCCCCGCGCCCCCCACCAGGCCGGGCCGGGGCTCCCCCTCAGGCCGGGTTCATCCCCTCTCCTTACGTGTTGTCCTGGTTGAAGTTGGCGACGAGAAG